ACGTTACGTACCGTTACGTACGTTACCGTACGTTACGTACGTACGTTACGTACGTACGTTACGTCGTACGTACGTACGTTACGTCGTACGTACGTACGTACGTACGTACGTACGTACGTACGTACGTACGACGTACGTACGTACGTACGTACGTACGTACGTACGTTACGTACGTACGTACGTACGTACGTACGTACGTACGTACGTACGTACTACTACTACGTACACTACACTACACACACACACACACACACACACACACACACACACACACACACACACACACACACACACACACACACACACACACACACACACACACACCTGCCATATTGTATAAAAAACCCAGTGAGTGCAGATCTCCATCACCCAGGAGCCTCAAGGTCTCTGTAGCAGCGGGAGGACAAATGCTCCCAAATGAAAGTGTTGATTAAAATGTGACATGCTGTGTCTTTACTCGCGACAACACAGTGACATCCTCCATCTTCATAGACGCCTGAACCCCCTTCATTCTGCCTGCAACGATGGACACACGTCCGCCTGCTATTTAAAGCTCCGCTGAAAAATTACCTTTTATACTGTGAAGTCGGGTCATGAGTGCTTTTGTAGAGCTCTGAGAAATGAGTGTGAAAGTATTTTTATTTTAGCATCGGTAGACTGGGGGTACGATCTTGATGGTGGTGCAATAAAAACATAGAGCTTTTAAGTTACAAAGTGCGTTTCTCAGATTTTATTAAACATTAAATAGAGGAAAAGTAACATAAAGAGTCAAAAGTGGGCAGCATTTCACAAACCCCAAAAAAGCATAAAAGGGCCCGTTTTTAAAGACAGATCTTGGAATGTTTTGAGAGGTTAAAATGCAAAGATATCTAAGTGAACTCCTTTGTGTTTTAGGTGGTGATGTGTGTCGCTCAGCTCTATTGGCATTTGGCCCCTACGCAGGAAGTCAACATTGTCACCAAGTCACTGGTTCGACTGCTAAGAAGCCACAGGTAAATCAGAATCAAATGTTCCCTTTACCTAAATTAGCCAAAAAGTAATGACATCCCGTGACACAGTGTATCCATGTTGTTTAACGTCTGATTATTTCCCTTTCTTTTGTGCAGAGAGGTGCAGTACATTGTGCTTCAGAATATAGCCACTATGTCCATTCAGAGGAAGGTGAGTCTGCTTGAGGACTTCAGAACAATATTACTGTCTTGATTGATTGATGCAGTCTGCCTAATAGTACGAATGATCTCCAAACAGGGGTTGTTTGAGCCCTACATGAAGAGTTTCTATGTCAGATCCACGGATGCAACACACATCAAAACGCTGAAGGTAACTACCAGTTTATCTTTTGCATTACGGCATACACAATATGGGCTCAAATGAGGGCCAATAAGATATTGAGATTGGGGAAATGATGTTCAGAAATGATTTCACACTCTGTGGTGGTTTATTACCCATTATAATGCTATCCAAATATCTGCTGGAGACATTCAAGTTTGTAATGTGTAGAAAATATTGGTTGTGGACAAAATGCGCTTGCAAATCAAAGGTGAGGTTACATCAAGATAATTGCTCTCATGAACAGAGCAGATATTTCAAATGCATGCACACATTTAAAAGTTTGAATTTAAGCAGAACCGAAAAGTTTTTCAGCTTTGAAAATGACCCATTTTAATCACATGTTCAAATGTTTTCTACATGTTTATAAACTTTAATACTTTTTGCAGTTGTTTTAATAGTTAATAATGCACCTGCACATCCAAAGCCTTTTGAAATGGTTTGTGAGGAACATCTCACCAATTAAAAATCATACTTCTACACTCCTCTCCTTTGTAGTTGGAGATCCTGACCAACCTGGCCAATGAAGCCAACATCTCCACCATTCTGAGGGAATTTCAGGTTCGTGTTTTCTTTCTAAATTCCTCCCAGTAATTGACATTAAAAGACCGGGGTTACTATTTGGGGTTCGACACTTCCTGCTGTCTCCTCCTCACTTCGTCTTTCTCTTGCCTTTCTTCAGACCTATGTGAAGAGCCAGGACAAAGCGTTCGCCGCGGCCACCATCCAGGCCATCGGCAGGTGTGCCACCAACATCAGCGACGTGACAGACACGTGTCTCAGCGGTCTGGTGCTGCTGCTGTCCAACAGAGACGGTAACATACTTTCAGTAATGATTACAGATAACAAGTGTTTACCTTTCTCTGTATATTAAGGTTCTCTGACCGTCTGCTATTGTGATAACTCGTTTTATTGTCTTTGCAGAGACTGTGGTGGCTGAGAGTGTGGTGGTGATCAAGAAGTTGCTTCAGACTCAGCCCACCCAGCACAGCGAGATCATCAAACACATGGCCAAGCTCTTCGACAACATCACTGTATGAGTCATCATTGTATTACTCTTACCCTTCATGAAAGTTTAGAACGTTTCCAGAAATGGCATTGTGACACCATAATGTTTTAACTGCTCCTTCTTTTTGATTCTGACTGGCAGGTCTCCATGGCTCGTGCCAGCATCCTGTGGCTGATGGGAGAGTACTGTGACAGGGTGCCAAAAATTGCACCCGATGTCCTTCGTAAGATGGCAAAGACTTTCACAGCAGAGGAGGACATTGTCAAGCTGCAGACGGTCAACCTAGCAGCCAAACTCTACCTGACCAACTCCAAGCAGGTACATTTTAATACTGTGTGTGTGTGTGTGTGTGTGTGTGTGTGTGTGTGTGTGTGTGTGTGTGTGTGTGTGTGTGTGTGTGTGTGTGTGTGTGTGTGTGTGTGTGTGTGTGTGTGTGTGTGTGTGATGACCTGCACATGGAAGAATAATGAAGCTAACTAACGCTTATATCTGAAATTAGCATCTGCATGATTGTCGTAGAGATAAATCAAATCCCTGTTATCTAACTGTGCGCTTATGATTTGTCCTTTACGTTTTTTTTTTCACAAGACACAGCATTGTAATATTACACTTCTGGAAGTAAATGCTCAGTTTAAATATACAGCAGTGAATGAGACAGCTTTAACGTAATGGAGCATCTCCTCGCACAGCTTGGTGTCTATAGGCCCATTCAGGGAAATGGGGGTGATTTTGGCCTCTGAGCCGGGTTTATGAGCCCAGACGCTGCCTCCTCAAACCATCATCATTACACCTCATGCTCCTCGTAATGTGTCGGGGAGAATAGAGAAGGAGAGAGGAAGAGACAAAGACAATTCAGGAAAGGGCTCAGGTTATAATGTGGGCTTCATGGCGGCAGTTATTTTATGATTTTATGCCTGCCTAAATAATACATGTCAAAAGCTCTGTCTTACTGTTTTTGGGCCAGAGGAAGGGTACTTTATTCATCCAGAATGTGGTAATGAGGAGACCTTTTCAAACTGATGGTATACCACGTATTTGCCTACTGTTTATCCTAATTTGATCAATTTCTGGGAATAGGACCATTGTAAATAATTCACTTTTTGATGGTTAGATTGATACCAATCAGTATGTTCCTTGAGTACAGAGCTGGAGCCAGAAGACAGTTATATTAGCTTAGAAGACTGGGAACAGATTGAAACAGACTGACTCCATCCAAAGACCAACACTTTAAAAGCTCTAAAACAAGAACATCTTAAATCTAGTTTGTTTAATCAAAACAAAGACAGTTAAGTAGAAATGACTTGATGTGGTTTTAAGGGGAATGTTGTGCTCCAGCTATTGTACTTCTTTGCAAGAAGCGAGCTGGGGCATTGGCTTCCTGAAACTTCAAGAATGTCGTCATGATGTTTTCTTGGCCAACAAACAAATAAGTGTCTTTCTTAAGCCAGATCGTAAACCACCAATCCTTTCCCACATATGCTTGCCTTTTACTCCCGTCTGCTGACTCACATGTTACCCAACTTGTCTCCTCCAATCTCTTCACTTTCACCCCCCTTACACATCATCTCTGACCCCAGACTAAGCTGCTGACCCAGTACATCCTGAACCTCGGCAAATATGACCAGAGCTACGATATCAGAGACCGAACACGCTTCATAAGACAGCTGATAGTGCCCAACGAGAAGAGCGGCGCCCTCAACAAGTACGCCCGACGCATCCTACTGGCCCCCAAACCAGCCCCTGTCCTCGAGTCTTCCTTCAAAGGTACTAAACACACATGAAATCCTCTAAATAGGTAGGGGTTTTAAGATAGAATACCATTCCTCTCACGTTTGGTTATTCATCTAAAGCCAATCACTGAATCCATATTAACTGGACCTCTATTTCACATCTAGTGACTCTATTTCCTGTAGTATGCAAAGTGGATTTAGACAGTAGTTTTATTATTCTGGTGTGTCTTTCCCTCTGAAGGGCAGTTAGGTCAGAGCCCTTTATCTTGGACTAATGAGATGGGTAAATTATTGAGCTAATGCTCACCTTTTTCAGACGCTGGGAGAAAAAAAAATCTCCTCATTTAGCTGTCTCTTTTCTCTCTCTCTCTCTCTCTCTCTCTCTCTCTCTCTCTCTCTCTCTCTCTCTTTTCTCTACTGAAGGGACAGAAACAGCCTTCAACACCATTAAAATTCAGAAGCAGTTTGCACCTACTGGATGTTTATGGAAAGCGTTAACCACCCCTGTCATTCTTAATATTCACAACTTTCTTTCTTTTTTTCTCTCTTTGGTTTGCAAAGCACAGTTTTTAGAGCTAACCTCCCAAGACACTCATTATCCTACTGGAGAGAGAGAGAAGTGTGAATGTGTGTTTATGTGTGGACAAAAGCAGAGAGCTGATTTTTAAACCATGATACCTATAACCTATTTCTTGTATTAAAGGTCCCTATATGGACACAGTGACATTAGGTGGCTTTTCTCTTGAAATGTGCTTTGTCTTTGGTCGTAACTTTTTAATGTTAGTCTCTATTTCACTAAAGTGACCTCCTCCTTGCTTTACACCACTCTTGTATTTTCAACCCAGTGCTTTTTTTTGTCATTTTCCTGTACTTGCAGATCGAGACCGTTTCCAGCTGGGCACTCTCTCCCACAGCCTCAACACTAAAGCTGCAGGATACCAGGAGCTCTCTGATTGGCCAGCTGTTGCTCCTGATCAGTCTGTGAGGAACGTGGAGGTCATTGAGCCAGTAAGAAAACCAACCTTAATGCCACTCTCCTTATCATAGTTTTACCTCCTTTGTGTTTAATTCTAACACACAGCTGTTTGTTTATCCTCTCTTAACTGTCAGCATCCCTGCAGAACGGAATCTTTCTCATTATGTCTGACAAACATTATTGAAGCGATATGGTTTCATATTGTTTTGACGTTAAAGCAGTGGGTGTTAAAAGTGCAAAAACGTTTCCTTTTTATATTATGAAAAATATTGTTTGTGATGCTGGTTTTGGATTGGGTTCCATACTGCTCACAGATGAGAACTTTTTCAATCGTGAACATTTTAAGAACCAAACATTTAAAAAAGGTAACGGCTTTGTTTTTCAGTGAAGGATATTATTGACTGTGGTTTTTTTCACACGCCGGAGCACCAGCTTTATTATTGTTATTTTGTAGCACCTAATGGGGATCCTAATAAAACAATTAACAACAAAAAAAACTAACACAACAAAGTTTATTTCTAGCTTTAAGTATAAGGTTGATTTAACAGAGAACAAATCTGGAAACTTGGGAAAAACGGATTGAAAACTGACTCAATCTGGCTGATTGACTAGTTCCATTGCATCCTATTAAAGCAAACAAGAGGTATAAGGCGTTTATATCCAGCTCTCTACAGACTTCTAATGGAAACACACTATATTTTGTTAGTTGTTTGACCCGTTAGTTTAGTTTTTTTAAATAATAATGACATTGCAGTATAACTAGTTATGTTTACATTAAACACCTACTAAATAAAATCCTCAGAATTATTACAATACTTTTAAATCTGGTTATACACTTATCCCTAAATTATAAATCTCAGATGCTGGAATTACTTTGTCTCACATCCTTTCTATGTATCTGTTTAGGTGCAAGAGTGGGCACCATCGGTTGGGAAAACCAAGAAATCAGGAAAACCCAAATCTGCTGACAAGTTCTACTCGGACGATGAAGAGGAGAAGGAAGAGGAAGGATCTGAGAGCAGTAAAGACAGCAGCAGCAGCAGCAGTGAAGGTTTGTTTTCTGTTTCTGTGTTTGAAAGCCCATGTTTTTGTCTCACAGATTTATTTTGACCAAAAGTGTTGTTGTTGCCTTTGTGAAATAGTGTATAGAAGTTATGATCATTAAGATGTTATGACACGTTTTGTCACTTGTGGATAAGTCAAGTGCAGTTAAATACTACAAGTCCAAGAACTCAAAGCAGTAAACACACCTTAGGCAGCTACAGCTAGAGCAGGGGTGTCAAACTCAAATACAGTGGGCCAAAGTAAAAAAATGTGTACTAGTCGAGGGCCGGACTGGTTCAATGTTTATTGCAAAACTTATTGAAATGGATTTATTGAACTAACAAAACTTAAATGATTGCCTATAAAAACAATTATAAACATTAAATCATTAGTTGCATTCATTTCTTATGGCTGTATCTGCAGCTTTTCAAGAGTCATTTCTTATGATTACATTTTTCCACAGGCCAACAACAGCTTCAAAAAAACAATTTCCCTCAAAGAAAAAAAAAACATGCCCTGTTGTCGCAAGAAAAAAAGTGCAGAAGAAATCCTCAGGATTGAGGAAGGTGTGCGTGCAATATACCGGCGGGCCAGATCTAATAGTAATTAAAAACTATCCTGCGGGCCAAAATTAAATCCACCAAGGGCCTGATTTGTCCCCCGGGCCTTGAGTTTGACACATGTGAGCTAGAGCAACTGATGTGTCTGTTTACAGTGTAACCAAACAAGAAGTNCCGTTGCCCCGTCCACGAGTAACGTTTCCACGTCAGGTATTATGTATGCTAGCAGCAACACACCGAGTTAACTACATTATACAAACATGGGTTAATGATTAGAGGTAACTGAGTTATTTATTTTGTTAAAGTTTCAGCTATTCTGTTTACAGTTCTGTTATCACATTATTTAATATGATTTGTTAAAACGTTGTTGTTTATTTTAATGTGAAATATGATGTATTTAATTTAAATAAAAAGCAATGTTAATTTTGTTCACAATTTGTTTAGTTAGTTTACCTTATTTTTTTCTCCAAAAGAACCGATAAGAGTACCGTTAAAAGACAGGACCGATTAGCGGTATTGATAAAAGTAGTAGTACAATTAAAACCTTAACGATACCCATCCCTACCGACTTCTTGTTTGGTTACACTGTANGCCCCCCCATCCACGACTAACGTTTCCACATCAGGTGTTATGTATGCTAGCAGCGACACACGGAGTTAACTACATTATACAAACATGGGTTAATGATTACTAATCATTAACCCATGTTTGTATAATGTAGTTAACTCCGTGTGTCGCTGCTAGCATACATAACACCTGATGTGGAAACGTTAGTCGTGGATGGGGGGGCTACAGAGCTGCTAGAAAGACATTCGAACTCGGTGCATTCCTCCGTCTGAATGTGGAGCACTTTTCCTAAATGTTTAGACAAATAGCTCGTGTTACCGTCGCCCTCACATGCTAAACTCTTATTGCACTTTTGGCAGCGGCATTGTCCACATCGAGACGGGTAAAGTTTAACCACACCTCGGAGCGCGTTCTCTCCGCCATCTCCGCAGTGTGTGTGTGTGTGTGTGTTGCTGCATGTAGCAGCTGCGTGTGTGTAAACTGCCCCGCCCCCTCGCAAACAGGCGGGAGAGAGAGATCGAAAATACTAAAAATAATCATAGACGCATTTTGCAGTTTTTTTTCGCGTATTAGAAATGGAGTTGGCGACACTAAAACTGCAATATAATGTTTGTGTAGCAATAATACACATAACATATGTTTTACATGTCTCTCTCCGGTACCGATAAAAAGACCGATAACGTCGGAGCTTAACGGTACCACAGTCTTTAATAATTCAGCCCCGAGGCCCGTTTAATACCGGGGCTCGGTACCCGTCCCTAGAAGTCAGTTAATGATGGCCAATCGTATCAATCTAAGGGGGAATTTAGTTAGAATTGGCAGTAAATGAATACAGCTCTGATGAAATATTAGGAGAATTAACAGTGATATCAATAAGCTAACATCACAACAGAATGCTGGATTACGCGCATGCCTAATTTATTTCTAAATCCTGCGTATGCCTGTGAACTAAAACACGGGCAAGAATACTCGTACTCTGCCACTCCAAAAATATACAATATAAAAAGGTAAATTCAGATTGTTAATTAGTTGATTCTACTGATAAAATGCAGACTATAGAAGTTATCCAAACAGTGTTTGGTTTCTTTAAAATATAGGACTTAAATCCACCAGTCTTTGATATACTGTTTATACTAACGTTCTGTATATCTGTGTTTCTGTGCAGAGTCCGGCAGTGAGAGTGAGGAGGAAAGCAGTGAAGAGTCAGAGAAGACCTCCAGTGATTCTGGAAAGAGTTCCAGTGGATCTGAGAAAAGCTCCAGTGAATCTGAATCTGAACCAAAGAAGAAGAAAAAGACCAAGAAGGCACCACAAAAGAAGAGCAAGCCACCTGCTGCTTTCAGGTACGGATAAACCCCTCCCATCTTTGGGAGGCTGGAAGCAGGATATTAGCATTTGTGTAATACAATGTGACAAAAACTCTTTGTAGATCTTATGCACCAAATAAAAGGATACATTTTAAAATATATTCATTGTATACAACCACAATCAACAACAGTTTCACTAAAAAGTTTTAATTGTATGTCCTTTTTAACAAACAAGATTCTAGCAGGAGCACTTATGTTCAGTCAAAAAGTTCACCAAATGTAATTCAATTCAAAGGACAACAAATCTTACCATCTTTCTGAAAGGAGATTACAGTATAGCCAATGAGCCATTACACACCTATTGTACTGTACATACACCTTCTCTGTAACACACACACACACACACACACACACACACACACACACACACACACACACACGCGCGCATTCACACACACCAGGCTGGCAGAGCTGCTAGAATATCGTTAGTGTGACTTCCATTAACAAGCTAATCAAGGAGAATTTTCCTCCAGTAGCGTAACCCACATTTACATGGCTAATGGATAATGACTTTTGATTGGTCATTTAGCAGCCTGGTGTTGCCAATGAATGAGATTTGAGTCATTACTACTGAATATGCTCACGTACACTCTCTTACACACTGGCACATTTAGTTTCTTATGCACTTCTACTTCATTTGCTCACGGACACACACAGTCACACACATTGTACCTGAATCTGCTGTGTGACAGGCCGCCGGCTGACCCTGTTCTCTCCATTAGAGAATATAATTAGAGAAACTCACCCCAGTGCTCAAACACACACAAACACGCACACACACACATACACACAGTAATTAGAACAGCTCACCCCAGTGCTTCCACAACAAACACAGCATAATGCCCTCATTATGGCCCAGTCATTTCAGGCAGGGCCTAATCAGGCCCACAGTGATTTATATCACTTTTTCCTGTTCGCAACAAATGAAATCTGTAGGCCAAATTAATACTGGCTTTTCATCATCGCCCAAGTTAAAAAGCCAGTTACCGTCACAATTCCCCTCATTAATTTAACGGCTGAAAATCCCAGGCAGGCGGAGTAAACACTCATTATCGGGACAAATTGAAGAGGGACAGAGCAAGTGAAAGAGAGAGGAGGAAGATGGAAAAAATCTTTTTGAGTGAATGCAACATTGAATTAGCTTCACAAACAAAAACAAATTGATCGTTGTTGTTCTGACCGCGCCACGCTCAAGCTTTTAGTTTGGATGGAGAATAAATAAAATAAAAGTTTGTTTGCCTAATGGCTTCCAGACAATTTGTTCAAACTGTATCAATGGAACCTGTATGAGTTTTATGTAAATACTAAGTAGATGCACAGTCCTTGAATTCGCATAAATACATATTTTCTGTTCTTATGTGTGTTTCAGTGACTCAGATGAAAATGGAAATGGTCCTGTAGCTCAGGCCAGCAGCTCGTCAGCTGAAAGCTCCTCCGGATCAGAGACAGACTCCGAGGACTCAGACCCCCCCGCTACACCACAGAAGAAGAAGAAGAACGACGTTAAGTCCAAACCTAAGGTGACTTGATTCAGCCCCGAGAAATTGATTTAATTTTGATATAAGATAAACAAATGGTTTTACAGAGGAGATCAGAAGAATCCTTTCCTAATGGACGGCAATGTGCAGACTAGAGTTAGCCACAAACATCCAGATGTCCCAAAAATATACAAATAATATTTTTCTGAACTGCTTTGATATTTTTCTATTCTACTGTATAAAAAAACCTGGTATATTCCGCATGTGGCGAAAACGTCAAATCACAATATACAGTATACTACAGGGTGCTAATTTTTCTCCTGTGGTATCAGGTTTATTTAGTCTCTACACCTAATTTATTTTTCCACTTCCCATCTTTTTCTTACCTATAATACTCATTATTTCTCACCCGTCCCTTTCCTTTCCTGCACTATGAAATTCTCATTTCATACATTTTGTCATTTGGACTCAGCCTATGAATTATGCATCTTTCTCCCCCTCTCTTTCTAAAAACCTCTCTCTTTCTCCCTCTCATTTACCAACAACATTTCCCTCCCCATTACTGCCACCAAGCGTCAATAAGAGACCATCTGATAAGACACGGCTTCTAACTTTATTGTTTGTTTTAATTCCTCACTCCCTCCACTGTTTTTTATTCTCCTTCCTGTCTGCTCAGCCTAGAGTATGCAGAGTGGAGTTTTTTGGTTATTTTTGTGACGATTGGACCCCTGGTTGGTTAGGAGGGTGTGTAGAAAGGTTGATAGAAGTGTTTGTATGTTTGAATGCATTTGTATTCGCCCTGTTCTGTTGCCAGCTACATCCCTTGGTTGTAATTCCCACAAGTCAACACCTGACAAGCCGCTATAGTTTGGGACACGACACTGTGCATGAGAGGTCATTAAAGATTTCTGATGTTGTCAAGTTCTTCTGGCTTTTGGCCTGTTTTCAGTGTTATGCCCAAACTTGAGAGGCTGGAGGGCAACAGAGGACGCTTGGACAACTCAGATTCTTTCTTTTTGTCCTTATTTTCTGCTTAGCAGTTATTTATATGACACTTTTCGTCAGAATCTCATCAGGTTGAAAACCTTCAAACACAGAGGACAAACAAATGTTAGTTCACATGCAAACCAAATCACAAACATTTTGTATGCCTCATTGCATTATTTAGAATAATAATAATAAAAATGCAGTCACAGGGTATTATAATTCAAATGATAAATTGTGAGTTATTCTACAAAACATCATTAACTTAAATTAATTAATTAGAAAGTCTCTTTCTCTACTTGAAACCAAGCAACCCAGAAAACCTCACTGAACATCATCTGCACTGTCTAAAAATATACACTAAACAAAACAGAGCGCACCCAAACCACGCTGCGTAAAAGCCGTCGATTGCGTAACAGCACTCTCACACAATAAGGCAACAGAACAAGTACGTCAAAATACATTTAACAATGCAGAAACATACCAACGGCGTCTCTGGAGCCTCACACACACTGTCGCCAACTTCTCCCTCCGTGGCTTTGGGAACAAAAGACCGGCCATCACAATTCCTGCCCCTTGTGTTGCCGTGTTACCAGAAGCGGCATTCATATTTTGTAATAACAGCTCGCTCATCGTTAAGAAAAGAAGACTACGCTATTCAAAATAAAACGAATACCCCCTTGGTATTGAGCAATCCTATCACAATAATAACCTAAACGAAAATACATACAAATAATTATTTATCAGTCCGTTTTTCTCAGATATTATTATTTTTCTTTCAATATTGACTTTCGTCTCGAAAGATGTGTTTTATATAAGTGCAGAGGATCAGTTGTTAGATTGAACGAGAGACACTGCCAGAAGAATTGAGCCACTCTGGCTGCTGAATAACACATAACACATTTTCCGTACTTTTGTTTTTAGGTGTAATTTCTTTCTGTAATTTCCTTGTGATATGTAACTCATCATCACGTTCCTGCGTTTTTCAGGCGGAAGTGAAGTCCAAGGTGGAAGTCTCCTTACTGGATCTAGTTGATTGTGAGTTTATCTTTAAACCGCTGTAAATCACGACATGTTTGTTTGTAATCTAAGCTTCTTTTTTTATTTTTTTTATTTTTATATACACAGTATCAAATGCCTGGGCCTTAAAATGTACTTATGGTCACAGACCCAGCTTTGCTGTTCAGCTTGTTTTTGTTTTATAGCCTGTTCTCACATTAAACCCTTTTTCAACAGACCAAACACAAATAGGTGATTTTGGAGAAATGATGTGCTGAAATAGATGTATTTTCTGAGGCCACAATAGTAACAACAGTAAACTTTGGTATTTAAATCTATTTTTTTTATCAAATACGTTTTACAGTAGTTGTAATGTCTTTGGATGTCTCTCTGTGACACTATCAAACATAACCTTTGATACACATTAAAGCAAGTTGCACTCTATTCACTGTTGGCTTTAACATGCCTAACATGTCTGTGTTCTTGGGGTCCTTTTAGTTTCTCCTGCTCCCACAAATGCACCAAAGTCTTCGGCCATCTCCTCCAGCCTGCTCTCGGACCTTGAGGGCCTTTCCCTCTCCAACATCTCCTCCACCATGCAGGTTAGTGGTGGTATACTTTGTGTGTGTGTCTGCATTAGAAAACACACAGGGTGACATCCCCTCCATCACCATGCGTTCAGAGTCATCTGTTCCTTCCTGTGTGACACTGATATAGCAGCGCAGCAGCGTATGAGATGCTGAAATGAGCCTCTCTCTCCCCTGTGCAACATTTCTGCTCCAGACGCCGACTATTGACCTTTTCTGCCTCCTAATATTTATAGCCAGTCAGCGCGGCACAACTGCTCTTCCTGTTTCCTGTATCTCTTATAGTCTGTCTTTCTCACCCTCGCCGTCTTTTGCTCGTCCGCACCCTTGAACTCTATTTCTGCGTCTCATCTATAAGTCCACCCGCTGTATTTCTCCCCCCCTTATCTCTCTCCTCCTCTCTGTCACCTTCCATCTCTCTCTGTCAGATGTTGCGTCCCTTGTGTCTCGGCGTTGTGTATATCTGATGGTTGACCTTTCCTAGTGTGACGGCTCCTTTCTCTCCTCAGTGTGTGAGGGACTCTGCACGTCTGTTTATTTTGTATCTTGTCTCCCCCCCCCCTGGGAGGAATATGTCCAGACCATTCTTCCTGCGGTCGCTGTTTCTATTGTGTGTCTCACAGCCAGGTCTGTGCTAACTCTGCCCGTTGAAGATTTAACAACAGAACACTGATGGTGCTAAAATGGTTTTAATACGTTCAGCATTCACACAGGTGTGTGACATTTGACTTGGATTTTGATAGATTACTCATGATGATGATAGATTACTCATGATGATGAAGGTGGGCTTCAAGACACGACAATTTGTGATTCATTCATGATTAAAGATTCATATTTTTACATTTCTTTGATCGATCATGTAATCAGTTATCAACAATTTCCTATGGCCATGATGGAGGCAATAAATATGAATATATATCAATAAACAATTACCGTGCTATCGATATTTTGACAATAGTGTAGTGTGCAGTATGTTTGTGAAAGCCTTTCCTTTTTGTGTGTGATATTCATCAGTAATATAATAAGGTAGGAGAAGGCAAGTAATAGAAAAGCTTGAACAGTCTGGTAAGAAATTCAGAAATCTCATCACTTAACTGTAATGCCTTGAAAACCAGGAAAAGACACATTTGCCATATAATATCACAAATCTAAAACCATATTTAGTCTTACTGTATATTATGACATGAATATAATATTATTTAACAGCTGATTCCTTCTGACATAAATTTCAGTTTCAAACTACGTTTGTACCACGTACATTTGCTTCTTTGCTTTTCTCAGTTACATGAGAAGATCAATACAACTCTCACTAATACACGGTACATTTAAAGTTACAGCCAATTAAGACCTGAAGAATGTGGAATCAGGAAGCCTGTTTGATCGTAATAATATATTAAGACAAACTCCCTTGAAGTTAAAGACTTTCAGGCAATCTTAATGTGATGAAACATTTAATTTATTGTCTAATTAATTGTTAAATACACAATGGGAAACTTCAATTCATCATGTTGAAAGTGACTGATTTATCTAAGTCTTTGTTAACTAACATTTTCTAAACAAATGTCTTTTCACAAGCAGTCTGAACGGCCTCTACACTGACTCCAGCTCCGGTTGTGTGTTTAGCTTTACTCTATATTCTGTCCACCCGTCAGTCCTGTGCGCCTGTCAGTCAGTATGATTGACAGCTGCTCTCAGGCCAGCGTTTATGCAGTCTTGTTAGTCGCTCTCTCCTCCTCCTCAGGTGAAGTTCATGGAGTAATAGAGAATAGAAATGCAGATTAGAACAGGCAACTTTTTGCACATCAACATCTGATTTAGAGTCAATTCTATGCATAAATACATGATGGGCATCGGGATTCATAGACAAGGGTAAATAACCTCACCTTTATTCGCACTCGCCCCTCCCCACGCATGCACACACACACACACACACACACACACACACACACACACACACACACACACACACACACACACACACACACTGGCCCCAGTGTCATTTCTATTCCTCAGCAATCTGCCCACAGAGGCAGCGAGTCTGTCTCAGCTGAGCGCTCGGGCCCTTTTAGAGAATTACTGCATGGTTATCAAAGGCATTTAGATTAACCCTGGTCACTGTCTCTGACCCACCTCCTCTCCTGCCTCCTCCTCCTCTCCCCAGTTTCTGCATGCTACCGTTCTCTCTAATAACATTTTGACATTAGGATCTCTCACAAATGCCTCTTAAATCCCCCCCACCCGAAACCTCTTCCGACCGCTGTCCGTGTGTGCGGCGGGGCGGCTGAGGCTGATAACTTTTCATTCATAATTAGCAGGCAGCGAATGGGGCTGCGTTGGGGGGAAATTGAACTGTCAGCGGCTGGGCGCACGCCGTTTGACCCCATCACGCCCAGAGGGGGCCATCATAATTTGTTCATTTGGTGTCCATCAGGCGGCCGCCAGCTCACCCCCCTCTCCTCCCCCTCCTCCCTCCTCACCCCTCTGACCTCCCCCGTAGTGGGCGCTCTGGGTTCACGTCTAATTATGAATCAGCAGAAGGGCCCCAAGCGCCACGAATATAGCAGCCCCTGCCCTCCAACCCTCCCGCTGCCACTCAAACTGCGGAGATTGCCTTTTAAAGAGAAATAAATGCCCACACAGCTGCTGCAGGTGCCCGCGCAGTGACTGGACGGTTTGGGAAATGTTTGTGTTTTAATGCAGCTGTAGCAGCATTTGTTTTCTTATTAGTTTGTTTTAGCAACTCTGTGAGGACTAGTTTTTGTGTGTCTGTGTTAAGGCATTTTGTCTCTCCTGTTTGTTCTGAACTGGAAGAGGAAATGATGGCCGTCTCTAAGAATCCTGTTTATAAAATTAGTTTTTTTTGGCTGCAACAACCACTAAGGTAACTAACCTTCATTTTAAAATATAAACATAAATGATACCATATCACTGCCAACATTGCTGTGGTATTACGCCGCTTATTTATTTGTGTTGAAGGCAATATTCAGACCCTGTGCCAAAGCATAATGAACAGTACTATAGTATAAATACCCCAAAAAAAATAAAGTGCTGCATCAAAAGTTGTGTTACTTTTAGATTCTAAAAATTAAGCAACACTAGGAATTACAACAATGTGAAAAATGCCTTCTACAAAATCCATCAACCAAACTAACTTCCACAAACGAAAATCGTTTTTTTATTAACCTTTAATAACTCAAAATTAGACTTAAAGTAGATAAGTATATTTTCCTTTAAAAAAAAGAGTAGTATATAAATATGAAGTGGCAGAAAATGAGAATAAAAAAAGTATACCCTTGTTTTTCCCCAATTTTTTTGGCACTTACCGTATGTTTATTAAACTGTCACAAGTGAACTAACAATATTAAGGAATCTCTTAACATCATGTATAAAATCAATAATTGGGAAGTTTTTTTTAAAATAACAAACCATGATAATCCTTTTATTAATCAATAATGGAAATAGTCATTACTGGGTTCCTTTGTTCTATTAAATATAATGCTAAGACAAAGAAACTGTTAGCAACTAAATGAAGGACAATGCTGTTTCTGAATAACAATCCTCTATTATTGCTAATGTTCTTTAATGGAAAATTTCAAAATTAATCATTTTAAAATACCTAATTTACTGACAAATTGGCATAAATTAAGTAACCTCTGTCTATATGCGCCGGAGAGACTTCTTGTTACATTAAAGTAGTTTAAGATGGCTGTAGTAACATTTATTTAATCCAATTTGTAGTCAAGGTCCTTGTGACGCCCCCTCAATTAATTGTCATCTCCTGACTGAGGGGAACAATTAGGGCCTAAAGTCAAACATGTGTCCCTTACCTTAATCCTCACACCTCTTGTAGAGCATAATGAAATCCTGTCCCTGGTGCTTGAGACAGACGGGCTCTGAAAAACAGAAATGGATTTTCAATATATGCCCATACATCTCTCACCACTTTCTTTTTAAATTGGCCCTCTTATGCACACGGCACAAGGCTACCACAGCTCCAGTTTAGCCCTTTTTTTGAATATGTCAGCTGGATTTTCAGGTCATTTGCGATAGAGGATGCTGGGAGCGTGGCGTCCGGGCTCTGAAGGTGACTGGTGTCTGTGTCATCCATCACGGGAGCTTCCTTTAAGTTGATGCATAATAGAGCCTCTCAATCAACTTCCTCGCTCATTGTCACCTCCCTCCTTCCTGTCCAGGGTGGAGAATGGGTGCCAAAGAAAGAAAGGGGGGGGCCTGACAGAGAAGTCAAGGTTACATCCCCCTTCTTCTCTTATTTACACTTGAGGTGTTATGGGCTTACAGGACAACAATGGATGGAAGAGTGAAGGCGCTTGCTGGGGCGCTAGTGTCAGGCTTTAACTGTCCGCTGTGTCAAATTGGTGATAATAAGCCGTTTGAAGCGCTGTCCTGTCTCTGTTCCTTGCTCGGTTGAGGCGACAGACAGGACCTTGAAGCCGGATGTGTGTGTCAGGGAGGTAAATCTCTGTTGTGATGGTGTGGCCAACATTATGGCCAGCTTTATCGACACCGACTGCTCTGACACATCCAAAAGTGGCCCAATAAATTAGCGGGGCTGGCGGTGGCGTGACGGGCGCTTGTGAGGGCGCAGCGACGTTACGGCACGGCAACAAATGTTTGTTTGACCTCTTTCACTGGTCTGGTCACCGGAGACACTGCTGCTCCGTCAAGGGGACTGAGAGATGGTGGTGGGATCGGACAGTTTAATCTCCGTCTGATGTGATGCGGGCAGACTGTAGTGTGAAAATGTGTTTTACTGGTGCCAATACGATACCCAGGCCTATTCTCCCCTAACTTGACTTACATATTTGAAAACGGGTCACAAATGCATTTAGTTTCCAATTTAGCCCGCACGGTCTTTGTTCTTTTAATAACACTTTTAAAACATATATTGCATTTTGACCTGGTCAAGAAGATTCTTAAGTTATCTGCGAGTATCGCTTATTACATACATAAAAAATACAAAAACGTGCATAACTAACGGTTCAGAGTAGAAAACTACTGTCATCACAGCATCACCAACAGAAAACTAGAACATTAGTTTTGGTCTCTGTATATGTTCTTATTATTTTGTCCACTCATGGACTGTTTATATCAATCGATGTGTTTTTACGCAATTAAATACAGAGAAATCAGATTGCGTCTGTATTGGTCATACTTTCACTGTAGTAACCTGTTTTTTCTAAATCCGCACACACATGCATCACGTCAGTATTCAGATACTCCCCGTCCTCACAAAGCGGAGGTTCTTTTATGCGTTATGACTTATTTGTAGGTCAATTTCTAAGTAAAGAGTGAGACCTCTGAAAGCTGTTGGTTTTTGAGGTCTCACTGATGCATTACAAAGTAGCTGAGCGTTTTATGGCTTGTAAAGTGAACACATTGAATCTCATCTCTGCTGCTCTTGTTGTATGTCAAAGCGATTGTTCATCCTCACATGGCACATGACAAGTTGGAGGAGGACGCCTCGTACATCTCTCACTCGAGTCAGAACACGCTGCCAATGTGTCCGGCTTCAATAACACGATGTACCCTGACAGCACTCAACACTGTGCTTCTTCATATCATACGAGTCATATTAATTGGCATAATTATTGCTTGTTATTTACAGAACCTGTTTCATACCACTGGTGTTTCATATCATTCTTCAAGATATTTTTATTTCTTTCCCTTTTCTTATCACTAGTGTGACTAAATATGTGTTATGGCTTTCAGGTGTAGTGGTAAAAAGCTATTTTTTTAGTCACTGAACTTATCCTCATTTGCAGCAGACGCCTCCATGTCAGCGTATGAATACGTCCTCTGCAGGTGCTAAGTGTCTCAGAGGGTGTGAAAAGGCTTTGTTCGTTGTGATGTTTTGAACTCATTAGTGCCGTCTCTCTCATACTTTTATTATGTTATTATGTTTCACAGAGCAACATGTTTAGTGCGTGTGACGCGTTGTGTGGGCCGGACCACCTAATCTTTCTGACAAGAGCTGACATTTGTTACAGTCCAGTGAAAAAACTGAAAGTGTGAACAATGTTCCTTCCAAGTAATGTTAATTTGAAAGAGAATGAAAACACCACCCACTAAATCCGTCTCCTTTCTTCTCCACATCTCTCAAAGGTAATTCAATTTCCTGTCTCTGAAAGGGTAAAAGCTCCTTTTTAAAAAGACCTGCGAGCGGCAAGTTTGGCCCATGCAGGCACTTGTGTTTCTATTCATTAGAGGTTGTTTTTATTCAGCCTGGTTTGACAGAGCACCCAGCCCATTTCCATCTAACTGGGCTGATTGAGGACATGTCTTAAATGGGCTCCTCTTTACCCTACAGAGTTAATGAAGGGAGGGTTGGTGGGGACTTGTCAGCCAACCCTTGGTCCCACTCCACTCAGAAGTGCTGCTCTCTGCCTGCTGATTGGACACGGTGAATTGCATGAATCTAGGCTAGAAAGACTGGAGATTCTTGTATTAATCTGTCCTCTTGTGTGGATGCATTTGCACCGTAATGTACAAGGCGTCCCACATATTGTGTTGATGTGGAGAGCTTCTTTTCTTTGCAATGTTCTCTCATATTCCTTCTGCTCTCAGTCTGTTGTTCCTAGATTAATCCAGCTCATATTTGACTTTATTCTTCTGATAATCAAGGAGTTTGATGTAGCTGTCCACATAAAATCACCATTAAAGTCAGTCATTGTTGAGGTTTATTCATGTCTTTTTTCATATATCCTTCTAGGTCACCACTCCATCTTTCGGCCCTGTGAAAACCTACGAGCTGCTTCACCATATGACTGGAAAAGGCCTGTCAGCCAAGTACCATTTTCCCAGGCAGCCCTGTTTGTACGAGCCCAGTATGGTGGCTGTTCAGGTCATACTGACCAACAGCTCAGACCACAGCCTGGAGGAGATCCACATAGGAGAGCGCAGCCCAGCGGGTCTGAACATCCACTGCTTCAACACCATCGGTGAGTAGCGCATCTGTAAAATACTCCAGGTGCTCCAGGAAAATCCAATAATGCTAATTGATTTTTACCATCTATAAATTGATCTTTGTAACTAAAGTCTAAATAGCCTTATATGTCTTCTTACTTTGTGCATTAGAGCTCCATTGTTATCCAAAATCTATAAATAAACACATTAATGTTGCGTTAGGAGATAAGTGGTTTTAATATCATGAACACACTGTCGTTTCAATCTCACATAGAAGTTCCCTTATTAGAGAAGCAAGTGTGGATGTATCTGCTGCTAAAAACAATTAGCATAAGTTTTGAATATCACCAACCAGATCCTTATAAATTGTCATTTTTCTTTTGTATATAAAATAAATCTGAGTGATGGAGATGACGGATTTCTATAATCATATCTTGCAACATTACTTCAACCAAATGCTTGCTAGAATATAAAGCTGAGCAATAATTCAAAAATAACAATGAGAATTATCCACATTTACCTGTTGTATTAAAACATTAAATCTGTGTACAAATACTTTGTTAAAAGGTTCATCGCCAGGGTTCGTCAGATTCTTTTAGATTTCATCTTGTTTTCTAATTGCCCAAGCCTTGCAGATATGGACGTGAAGTGCAGCATGTGGCTTTAGAGTTTTTACATTATACATTTGTATTATTTGGCTACTGGCCAATAATTAAGTGACACACGGAGCTCAAACTCCAGCCGGAGCAGTTTTGCAGATTTAATTTGATATTTTTATTTTCCCTCTTTTATGTAAATAACCACATTTAATACGACATTTACAAATGTGTTGTCTCTCCTTTTCATTCATGATGGCCTTCTGACATTTCTGCAGCTCCACCTATACTATGATTGTTTTCTCAGACAGATTTAAAGGATCATTTAAAGCCTGTTTGCTATCAGCTCAGCAAATAGCCCTGTCCCATTACTCCCAACCTGAAAACAGCCGATATTACTCCAGCTAATCCCTGTTCATTAGTATCGATCAGAACAAACAAACATGCACCATCTCCATATTTCTTGTCACACTGCTGTATGATTGCTCCACTCAGTATAATATAAGATGGAGAGAACAGTGCTCCCTCATGATTTTCTTTCTCATGCACACACACACAAACACTCGGAGGTGGTGTGCGGTGGAGCACGTTAAAACAGTCAATTGCAGGCGATTGATTGGGCATTGAAGGAACTCAAGCAGCCAAACAGTGGGTAATTTGGATCGATTGAGCCCGGCTACTGGCGAGTTGTTCTGGATAAGTTGCAGAGGGATGAATACGGACAACGCTTAATGCTGTTTTGTGTGTGTTTGTTACAGGATAAGAAATGACAGGGTTTATTATTTTTGTTAGAAATGTTGCGTGTTGACCCAGCAATGCATTCGTTTCCATTGGTGCTCATCTCCGTGTGAGTGGTTTTTAAGTTAGCACTTTGAAAGGAACATGTTATTTGTGTTTTGAGCACTGTTTGTGGCCAGTGTGTGTCCCTAAATCATTTCATATTTGTCCTGTTAACTAATTAGTAGCACCTAGTTTCCGACATGTCCTCTGCCTATAATATTGTTAACACACCAAATTAAAACAAAACAAAACACTTAGTCGTTTTCGTTATTTCACTGTGTTGTCCTCCCTATTCCTAACATTATACCAACACGAGTAATCTGGGATCTGGGAACAAAGTGACATAACAGGAAGACCATAACGGTTTTTAAAGAAACAACTCATTTGGCTAAATGGAGGAGAAACTGCTGAAGATTGTACAAAACTGTGAAATCACTTATTCGTGCCATTTTTTTGGTGCATATTTGATGTTTTACCTTGAGATAAAATGTCAAGAAAAGTCTATAATAACAGTTTTCAACCCGTCTGATTATCTCCGCCGCTCCTCTCTCATCTCCTTTGTGACACTGTTGTCCCTACATTCCCAAATGTCAGACAGTACTTAGGTCAGTAAAGGGTTCAAATAATTAGTATTATTAGTATGACTGTTTGGGGAATGTTCTTTATTTATTTCTTCCCTAGAGTTTAAGGAGAATACCTGTGAAACTCTTGCCTCTGTACAATAAGGTCAGCCAGATGTTGTTAGCTCAGCACAAAACTGAATAGGCGGAAACAGCTAGGCACGATTGTAACATAAAACTTGCTGATAATCGTGTTATACCTATTTTATTAAATTGGTTACATTGTAAACATCCTTTGTTTGTACACATTATTATAACTCACTGTTTGCATTAAGGGCCTCTATATAAAGAAAGAGGTAAATAAAAGCAGAAACTGTGTAAGAGAAGCGGGGAAGGCTGGATTGGAAGTGAGTCCATGATGGCTCTGTTTTCAGAGGCTTTCCTCTGGAGTCTCTCCTCCGTCTGAGGAAAGAGCTACAGTCAAACAGCCTCGCTCCGGAGAGAGAGACCCAGGCCGACTGGGGAGGCGTGGAGGATGTTTCTGTCTGTCTGTGTTCTTCTCATCCTTAACCTCCCTTCCCCTCCCCCTCCCCCCCACTCAGCTGTCCAGACTCACTCCTCAGCATTTTTTGGCTTTACTTAACTCTGTGTCTAGCTTGCATTTCGCCCGCTCCGTCTCCCTCCCTCACCTCGTCTCTCTTGATGCTGATGCTCTCTTTGACAAGCCTGTAGTTTTGGAAATATGCTAGTCCTTCATGTGTTGTTTTTTTTCCTTCTCCCCGAGGCTAGAGGGGTTGGGGGATGAGATTGAAGGATAGATTTCTCACACACGGTGGCCTTGCTTTGTGAAGTAGAAAACAAAAGTGGTGTGGATGCCTGTCTGTTCCACTCTGCTGCTCCCCACCTCCTCCTCCTCCTCCTCCTCCTCTTCCTCCTCCTCCACCACCTCCTTTCCTCACGTTTCACACTGTGCCCTTGTCACTCACTCTTCCTTTTTTCCTCTCCTCTTTTCCACTCTCAGAGCGGCTGGAGCCAGAGGCCTCGGTGACGGTTTCCATGGGTATTGACTTCAGCGACTCGACACAAGCAGCAAACTTCCAGTTGTGGTAAGACAACCTGACACACTCGCATCAATCAAGCTTTTTTTCGACATCTTTTTCACTACCTTTTCCTGCTCCTGCTCTCCCCCCATGTCTCCAGATTCTTCACCACATCTCCCTTAAGTGGCTCTTTCTCTTACCGTTTTTCCTTTCTCATTTGTTGTTTGGTAATTTTCCTTTTCCTACCTGCTCTGTGCCGGCACTCCCAGGTGAGACATCAGCCACGATTGATCCGGGTTCACTGGGATAACAATTATTCCTCCAGTAATCAGGCCCAGCTCAAATCAACCTGCTGAATGCCATCGGCACCGCTGCTCAGCTGATCAATAGCCTTATCAGAAAATCTGTTCAGGATGGGGGGAATCAATCTGGCCCAACATGCCATTCACAGAGCGTGGTTTGCGAGGCAATCAGAGGAGAAATGTCTAATACACAAACAAAGTGCACATAACACGCACACTCCCCCACACATCATAACCCGGTCACTCAGACTAAGAGGAACTCAAATGACATAGCATAAGGGTCCTAATTTACAAGATTTCTGCAACATGTTAGATATCCTGTCAATAAGTAACACATCAGTTATTGTTCTGGTGTTGTCCTCTTCAGCACCAAGGAGGCCCAGTTCAGTGTGTCCATACAGCCGGCTGTGGGAGAGCTGTTGATGCCCAGCAGCATGACGGAGCAGGACTACAGCAAGGAGCAAGGTGGGTTACATGAGCAAAACAACTTTAATTGTTGTTCTACTCATACAAAGTCTCTGAAGCACATGAGCTGTTCGGAATAAGTGCTTTTACTACACATGGCCATAAACTAGGATAGTTGAAATATGGACTAAGCAGAATGGCTAATAACACACACACTGCTATTGTAATGTCTTAATAACATTTAAGACTGTTTGGTTCAAATAGCTTTTATATTTGCGCAAATGAACAGTGGTATGATTAAAGTTGAAGGCTGGCTGTATTAGGGCTGCTCAATTAATCTTATTTTAATCGCAATTACGATTATGGCTTGCAACGATTACAAAAACAACGTAATCAAAATAAAACGATTATTTTATTATTACTTTTTTTTTCTTCTTTTTTTTTAATAAATTGTTTTCTTTATTGTTTTTTCAGTTGAATTATATTTAAAGTTCAGGGTAATCAACTGTTAAAAACATCCTGTTCACTTTTTTTTCTCCAATAAATTGATGTTTTCAAAGTAAATGGATAATCGTTTTTAATAATCGTGATATCAATTATTGACCCAAATAATCGAGATTATGATTGTTGCTATAATCGAGCAGCCCTAGGCTGTATGCTATATTTCTGGTATTTATAGAAAATCTTACACAACCTAAAATGTGTTATTCCATTTCCTACGTGCATTGTCCAAACAGCTTAAAAAAATATATAGTCTAATTTAAAAAGAAAAATGGAAATGATTTTCTACATTTTTGGGTTTTAAGTCTTTTTTTGCAAACGGTGCATTTCATGGGGATTATGTTCAGCTGCAGATTAATGCTCATTAAGTGCTTTAGTAGGTATTTACAACAGCAGTTAATGTGGGATCGACTTAAAGTAAACTACAATGCGCAGGTTCAATATATTTAATGTAGCCTGATCAATAATGGATTTCTGATGTTGATAGAAATATCACATTATGCCCTATAAATACAGGGATGACCACAACAACAAAGATATAGAATATGCCATTTAAATATTCTTTAAAGATGAATTAATTGTCAAAGATGAGTCTTCACTACATTTACCGATCTAATAAAACCTACATTTTACTTCACAGAGGTTGGCCTTTTAATCTTTAAATTTGATTTAGTGTTTTTATAGTGTATGTAGCATTCATAAATTAATTTTATAAAGTGAAATAAAATCCTAGTAGCGTGCAGCAAATAGCATTTTCCTCATCACCCTTGTTATTAAGGCACAATGCTTCCCTCCTCTTATGAAGCACTTAATGGTATGACACACACACACACACACACACACACACACACACACACACACACACACACACACACACACACACATACACATACACACACACACACACACGTAGAGCTACAGTCTGAGCCATCAGTGTGTTGTAAGTGGCTGCTTAATGCTGCTTCCTCCTTAATTAATCTTCATTCGCTGTGTTTTGAGCTCTACTGAATACACCTTGCACTCAGACACAAATCAGAGGAACAACTTCCTTTGCTTGAGCCTTTTTCTCTCTCTCTAGCAAATTGCAGCTTTATACCATTTGTGTTAAGTTAATTAAGTCTTTCATTTACAGGTTTTTCATTATATTTGCCTTTTAAGACCTCCTTTATTTCCAACTAACTTGTGCGTCTTTATCTCCATTCTTATTCTTAAATCCTTGTCTATTACTAAGTGCACATGAACTGGCCAGTTGCCTTGCCTCTTTCTGAAATATTAAAAAAGAGCTTTTTTTTTTATGTTGGGGAAATAATTTCCAAGGCCCATAACTTTGACCCAGTTGATCAGTTCATACCGACTGAGCACAGGCACCTGTAACCTTGGCTGCTGTGCTCTCAGTGTTTTGATAGAGGTGTTATCATTCTATCTTGTTATGCACAATGTGGATTATTCTCTCTGAACTAGCTAAATACACGGGTCTGGGGTAGAGTTCTTCAGAATTGACGTGGCAACTCTACCGTGAAGTCAGAACCTCTGACTCGTTGACTTGTTTTGTGAATTATCCGGCCAAAGCTCCAAATAAACCGTCAGTGTTTGACATCAAAGCTCCAGCTCTCCTCGTGTCTCTCTGAGTCCTGACTCCAATTGCTTCAGAAGTTTCCCCCACAGTTTATAAGTCATAATCAAAATCTATTTTATATTGATGTCCATCCAGCCCTAAAACCAAGTCCTAAATCCTCTGTATACAGCAGGTTACTGGACCTCTTATAGCCATAACACTCAAGTATGGAATTGTAATTATACCCTTTAGTAAATACAAAATACTGCTATATATGAAGTCTTGGTTTCAAGCTAAAGTCTTAGAATAAATATTATTTCTCTTACATTGTAATGCTATTGTCTCTTTCCAGAAGTGATGACCCTGATTCTGCAAGATAATCCAAACACATTATTGTGAGCAGTTGCATGAAGGAATGAGAGGCTTGATTTGATACAAAGCTAACTCACGTCAGCTAGCCAACGTTACACACACTTTGCCATTATTGTTTACATCTCTGCTTTCAAAGTAAAAGTCTGTTGCAAATTAGTAGATTATTGCATGATGCTATGGTAAAACAAAAATATTTCCAACAATAATCTGTTCACACTAAGGTCTGTGGATTATCTCGAGTAACCGGGTCACGATTTCTGTGAGTAGATATTGCTGTTGAGTTTTTAAATGTGTTTTTGGAGCTTTGAGCACCAAAAGGCGAGTGACATCTTGTTCCATTCAAATTGACAGATTTGGCAGATATCTCTTACTCTTGGCAATTCAAAGCAGTCATAGTTAAGATATAACACTAGACTACTATGACACTAGAAGAAGAATATGTATTTTTGAACAGTCCCTTTGATTGTACTGTTATAATAGAATTTACCTTCGTTTTTTGTCCGTTGAACATTCTTTGCCTCCTCTCAGGTAAGCTCCTGGGCATGAATGAGACCTCGGCAACCATCACCATGGCAACAGCAAACACCTCGAGAGTGGCGATTAGCAAGCAGGTCCTGTCGGTGTGCAACATGGGAGAGGTGCCATCCAGCCAGAACAACGTCCACAGGTGAACTGTCCACAATACACACAAGCAATATTCATATCTCACATCATACCGTTACAATGATTACCCCACATCGTTTTACTGTGCATGTTTTAGCCCTCACGTAAATCATGTGTGTTTAATATCATTTATACACTATGGATATGTGAGGTTTTTCATCTTCTTAAGAGACACTGTACTGTCTTTCATGTTGAATCCTGAAGCAGCCAAAGACTGAGACCTTTTATAGAGCATTTCATACTAAATTTAAGATTTTGAAACTCACATTTTTAAGGATTAAAAAAAAAAAAAAAAAAAAGTAAATGGCGTTTACTTGAGTTTGTTCATTAACATTAAGAACTATCTGATATTTTGTTGAATACAGCTTAAGTTATCCCTACCCTCTATTCCCTAACAAGTCTTGGAGCACAATAATTACTGATTCAACTAGTTATCTGTTGATCACTTTTATAAATAACGTGAGAACAGTCAGAAAATGTCCAACAAAGGTTCCTTCATTTAAAAATGACGTCTTTAGTGTCTGAACAATAGTTTAAAATCCCTCACTATTTAATTATCAGTCGTACAAAATCAAGTATCTCCTGTGTTTAATTGAGTTTGGGCTCCGACATTAAGAAATATTAGATATTGATTATTGTGTCCTTCTGAAAATGTCGTTTTTGGTCAGGCACTTGTCCAATGATATGGATACAAGAGAGGCCCATAACCTGCCAGGCTGTGTCCTCTTTACTCAGCCTTACTGTCTCAGCAGTCCTTTGAGCGTTAATCAAAATCATACTTATACTCTATTTTAAGACTTTGTTTGTTCTGTCCACGAGAGTGAATGTCCTCTTTATAATCTAACGTGAATTAAAGTTTAAGTGTGTGTGTGTGTGTGTGTGTGTGTGTGTGTGTGTGTGTGTGTGTGTGTGTGTGTGTGTGTGTGTGTGTGTGTGTGTGTGTGTGTGTGTGTGTGTGTGTGTGTGTGTGTGTGTGTGTGTGTCAGCGTCCCACCATACAGACATGCCAGGGGAATGCCCTGAGAAGCCTGGCTGTGTAATTGGTGTACACAGAGTGTGCTAATGAGCTTCCTCCTCTGTCACGCACACCCGAACACCTGATAGATAATTACACCTCCCTCTCTCCCTCTGTTTCCTGCTCTGTCTCTCTTTCACTTCATCTCTGCGCCCCCATCTGTCTCTCCCTCCACACCGCCGTCTCTCCTTCACTTCCTCTTTGTCTTTCACTCCATCCCTTCTGCGCCATGATCCGTCCTCCTCCTTATACTCGTCCCTTTCTTTTATCACGACATGTCTCTTGTCTCCTCGTCTTTCGATAGCCTCGTGTTGGTGATCATTTCTTTTTCTTGGAATAGAGGAAGCATTTAGGATAAGTAAAGGACAGTAAGGAAGTCAAAGTGACTGAATAAGAAGGAGATAGTAGCACAAGGGCACCGAGCTGAAGGAGTGAGTGGAAATCAATGTGAGGCAGTGGGTGAGGCCTGCATCCAATAAGCCCATTCTCCATTCAGAATAACCAATAGCTCAAATGACTCCATGCTATCAATCTCTCTCCTGCCTCTGTGTCCCATTGTTTCCCCGCAGCCTCATAATAATGAAGACACCATGTTGTCCGCTGGTGATGACCCCCTCTTCCGCACTGCCCTTAGTCCTTAGTCCTGTCCATTTAGTGGAGATGATGGAGTTCCTTGCTGGAAACAATCCTCAGTCCTTGTCTCCTCAAACGTTACGAGGCAGATTTGACAGCCTCGTCTTTGAGAAGTTGTCTCAAAGATCTCTAAATATGTCTCTTTATGGTTTTGAGTGTGTGCTAGGGATTGCACAGGTGGGTCCTATGTTTCATTTGATAGGATTAACAGATGTGATTATTACTTTTATTTCATTTATGCTGCAACAATTATTTGATTATTGCATAACAACTAAATCATTCTGCAGCCAGTTTAAATAAAAGTGTCAAAAATAGTTCGTAGTTTCAGCTTCAAATGTGATTATTCATACTCATTATTTGGGGGTTTTGGACTTGCAAATAAATGGGTCATCCAGTTACTTTGTTTGGATACAGCCTTTTTCTCCATTTTCTTTACGATATCTAATATAAAGAAAAATGTACCACTGTATATTTAATTTACACACATTCACTTGGATCAAAAGAATGGTGCAACAATATGGTTTGCAAATAATTATCTTTTCAATGATTAATAAATCTTAATAACATTATAAAAAGTTCATCCCAGATTCCTAGAGACAAATATGACATATTCAAGTGTCTGAACAATAGTTTACATCTGTAAATATTTAATTAACAGTAACAAAACTAAGAAGAGCAGCACATCCTCACACAAGGAGCTGGGATGAGATTATTTGGCCTTGTTGTTTGATAACTAACTAAAACAATGAATTGTTGTTGATTACATTCCTGACAGTCAACTAATGGTTTTTGCACTGGTCATCTTAGCAATGGTGTTTTAGTGTGTTCGACTGTGCATCGTTTGACACACACTTGCAGAGCAGAGGGATCGATCTGATCGGATACACCCACTAAGAGCTTATTGTGGAGGTCACTCTGCATTAAATGTGATGTGTGAGGTGACCTCCACCCAGGACTCCTTCTTGTTCTCCTCTGATCTCCCCAGAGAAAGTCCTCTCTAATCCAGTTGAGAACACACAAAGTATCTGCCCTCCGAGGGGTAAGAGTTTGACTTTAATGTAGAAATAATTTACGGGGTTTATATCCTAAGACTAATACAGTTCATATCTCACATCTCCTGTGCTTTTAGTTGACCTCCTGGATGATATACTGCATTTAAAACAGGCTCTGTTTAACAAAGCAGCAGCAGCAGCAGCAGCAGCAGCAGCCTCTGCACTCCTCTTGTTTATCAGCAGGGTGCAGCACTGCTTTTCCCAAGCAGGCGCTGAGGCCGGGCGGAGGGGGATGCCACTGAAACACAGAAATTGATTGCTGGAAAGGAGGATGGCAATAAATCAAGCAGGAAAGCAAATGTAGAAAATGCTGTTCTTGTTTATGTCTAAACAGGCGGAATAGAATAAATGTGCTCTATTTTTCAGTCCGTTTGAAAGCAAATTTGATCGAATTTTGCATGCATTGCCAATCCTTCTGGTTAGAGCCTAATTTAGAGGGAAAAAACTGAGCTCGTTGATTTATAAGCTATGCTTTCTCTTTACTTTACACTTTGATATAATTAAATGATGTTTCTTGAAACACTGCATTTTCCTTTTTTACAATTAAGTTGAATTCTTGTTCCAATTAAAAATGTAATTGACTATCATTTATAACCCGGGCAATTAAACGTGTGCTCTCTTTATCATTGATAGCTTCAGCAGAGTGTAGCTTATGAGGCATCTTCCGATGATACAAAGAAGGCATTTGTATTTGTTTTTAATGTTGATTATTATTAGACAACAATATAGAGGTGATATGAAATCACATCACATGTTCAGGTAACATTTCCTTGAATCTTAGTTTAATTAAATTCTCCTCTTCCCATCTTGTTTCCCATCATCATCCAAAGTCTGTTTGTCCTCTCCTTCATTTCCCGTCCGTCTGGCCCTCCGCCCTCGGAGTGCTGGCTGCAGTTTGCCCGTATGGCCGAGCTCTGGAGATGCGTGGAGGGTTCCTGGTTGTAATTGGGGCTAATAGCTCTGGCCATCTGCCTGAGTCTGAATCTACCCACATGTGTTGGGCTGTGGTCTGGCCTCACTGACCACTCAGTTGAAGGACACTCCTCCACTTGTCCACCTGGCCAAGAACCAGCATGGAGCAATAATATCCAGCTGCAGCCACTGCACATATGGCCTCAGCTTCCCTGATTCTGCTGAAAGGCACCATGCACAAATCAAGAGAACCGTAATACTTAAGATGCAGGGGGCTTGTGTGCTCGCTGTGGGTTAAGCCCTGCGTTTTCTGTCGCAGAATCCTCCTTGTCCCGTGTCTTCTCTGCGTGAGGGTGAATGTAAAGGTGAAGCCCACTTTGTGTTTGCAGTGGCAGGGTGGAGGGGAGGCAGATGGCACACACAGGCTCTCTGCACTGAGGAGAATCACAGATAATTGGAGAGTGATGCTTAGCCGCAGCCCTGCCGATCGATGCCAATCCGCCTGCTCTAAGTCCAGGGGTTATGCTTTGCTTTTCTTTCCATACACTGCAATTAATCCAGTGTTTAGCCCTGAATGTGAAGAGTGCAGGAGAATACCAATGACCCGTTTAAGGCCCGCTTGTCCTTAATCTTTCCCTTTTAGTCCCTAAAAATGCACGGATGTTGTGTCAGGTGGGATGTTGGTCTGGTCACTGCACCTGAACATTCACATTACCACAAAACGCAAAGGAAGAATATTCTAAGCAAACACGCTTGGAAATCCAACACGATCAAAACACATACTTGTTTCTTTCACAAGCTCCCATTACAACACATCAACAAAGGCCCACAGCAGCGTCTCCCGAGACAGAATGAAAGCAGCCTCGGGGTAGTGTTAACTGGCTGAGTAAATGATAGATTTATATCCTAAATCCATTAGCAAAGCCACGGGGACCACATAGACACCTTAAGCTGCTGACGGAGGGGGAGGGGGGGGGGAAAGGGAGGGGCTGAAGGGAACCGGATGTTCCCTTGTATGTTGCTCGTAAATGTTTTAATGATTTTAATAGAAACAATATTTTTTGTGTTCATTTTGGTGGTGATTTTAAGGTTGTAATTATGAGAGAGGACTTGTCCTAAATTCCCACCATTAGTCATTTGGATTGATGTGCAACCCCCTGAATTATTTAAAGAAGCAAAGAGGTTGGTATCTTTGAGGGAAATGAATCCTCTTCTTGAATGGCTTGTGTTTCCTGCTGAAGTGGCTAATATTTTAATTAAGCCTGAGGAGGACTCTCTCTCCTCCCTGAGAGCCCCCTGATAAACTCCCTCTCCTCTGTTGATGGTAATTTAGCGGCTCCCTGGAGACGCTCGCAGACACACTGGGTGGGTGAGCCAGC